TTTGGTGACACTCTCTTCGACTTTCATTTGTGCACCAGAAAGGCAGTTTATCTCATTTAAATTGTGTCCTGGCTCTAACATCTACTTTATAACTACATAGATCCCTTTTTGATAAATAAAGTTACAAATGTACAGAGCTGCAGCAGTATCTTATTATAATGAGAAGCTTTTTTCACAAGACTGTAAGTCTGGATCTCACTTAAGGTTCGACAGAGGATCAGAGATAGTGGAACATGCTGGCACGTAAAGAATAATTTAGCTCTCAAGTTTCGCTTTGCTTCTCTCTCTGATGGAGTACGCAAAGCCCTTCGTAGTATCCGCACACTAATGACAATCACAGACAACAATCCAAATTGTGTGTTCTGCTCTGAAAGGGAGAAAAAGTCGACTGTTAGTTCATTAGCTGAGGAATTGCAATCGACGTACTGCTTCACAATAAAAGCCACCCGTTGTTTGACCAGCCGAACGATTTAATTGTGAAGCAGTCGCAGTAGGAAATGTTAGGTTTGCATTAACAGTGATTAAATGCAGCTCTGAAAGAGTGTAAAGAGAGTGAACAGTAACTAGCGAGGCTGATGACAATGAGATGAATTAAAAACTTTTAAAATGTTTGATTTTGGTATGATTTTGTATTTAAGGATTACAGTTTTAAAGGTTGAGTCTGTGGGATTTGGGCGTCTTCCAGCGGTGTTGTTACAGATTGCAACCAACACAAAGTCCTGTGTGCTGAAAGTGTAGCAGAACTATAGGCTACGGTGGCTGATGTAGAAAGATGGCGGCCTATGTGAAGAGGACCCGGTCAATGTGTAGATATAAATAGCTCATTTTAAGGCAACAAAAACACGATTGTTATTCTAGATTAAACACTAAAGAAAGCATACTTATCCATATTTTATTCCATTTCTGCCAATAAATCCCCCTAAAAGCTACACATTGGCCCCTTAAGACAAGTTGAAAAATGAACCATTTATCTCCAAATTAACTGAAGTAAATCTATGGCTTCAAACCCAAAGTGTTGGATGCTACCAGAGTCTAATGTTTTTTAGGTTTTTTTTTAGACCTCTACGGGTCAACCATGAATATATTCTGCAGGATGAGTGGTGTTCATGTCAGTAAGTCTGCCTTCTGTCCCAACAGGCTGCTGTGGGTCAGTCCGCTCGGACAGTGACCCGTTGACAAAGGGACAAAGAGAAGAATGAAAATGAAGGTGCCGCACAAAGACCTGGGAAATTCATTTAATTGAGCCTGGTACCCAAAATGCATTGGTTGACATTTTCATAACTGACCCAGCCCACACGAGCACTTGTCCAACCTTTAAAACATGCACGACGGTAAATAAAAGACTTCCCCGGAATGATTTTACTAAACCTGTATTTTCAGTAATGATATTAGCAAACACAGGCTTTGCAAAAAAAAAGGCTTTCAAGTATATTTTCATTTTGAACTATTTTATATAATCCTTCCACCTCAAGCTTTAGATTTGTAAATGTAACCCATTTATTGTAATGAGCATTAAATCCCATTACAGTTATGTGTGCAGTGCACACTCCATTTATTTTTGATTAAAATATCCCACACCATTTCTGCAGGCTCCTTGACAAAATGGTAATTAAAGAATACAAATCCTCTCATTGCTTTAATAAAGGAAAATAATTCAGTCCATAGTTTTTTGTTTGTACTGTCACCGGATCCTGTGCACTACTGCCACACACTGCAGTGGGCTTTATATCCTAGGACTAGAAAGCTCATCCAATTTAACACGAAATAGCACACAAAAAGGGGGATATGATGTATTCTTGTTTAAATGATGATATCCCCTTCACAGTGGGATATCATTTATCACTGAGAGGGATCATTGGTCCTTCATACAACACCTTAGCATCACACGAAATAGAACTGAAAATCATTGCTTTCTAAAGTTTCTTTCTTTTCCGAATTGCTGCAAGTTGCACTTAATTCCAGTGGATAAATAATCTACTAACAAATATTGATGAATGCACCTCGAGAGGAAACATTTTGGATGTGTGGAAAGGCCCAAAGGCCCACAAGTTGTGAGCTCTGCCTCTGATTGGCTCTTTATGGCCAAAGGCAATGAGTGGTCCTTGCACAGTGCTACACTAACGGGAATACTAGGCAATGAATTATGATTCTGCTAAGCTGCCATATTTAATTTTTAAAACTACCGATGGCAAGATTCGGGGTTAGCACAGAAATAGTGTTTTCGTTGTGTGTTTGGCCGCGCAGGGGCTGCTGATGCATACGAAGAGCCCCACCATGTCAGAAGGTTGATATGATTGATATTTCTTATTTCAGATATTCATAAAGGCAATGCCTTTAACCTTGCGAGTCTCTTTCTGATGCCTCGGGATGGCTGATAAAAAGCACAGAGCTGAAACCTGAGTGTGCACTGCAGCCAACCTGACAGCATCTCCCGTGTTTACGGTCACACATGTATAAATCATGTGGGCTGAGACATAAATTCTTTATTCACCTGTATATCTCCCACGGCGTCCGTTAAAGAGAGGTTGATTTTTTGGACTGTTTGTCAATAACGATGTCATGCATTAGTCATAGTTTATTATAGAGTGTGGAATTGGATTACAAGGAATTAAGCTGGCTGTGGTCTAATTGCATTTTTCGTTGTAACCTCTGCACTGCCAATGTGTTGACGCCTATCTATCTATTTAGCTACTATCCGGGTCTTGTTAAGTTAGACCTCTGCAGCTTTCTGAATCACCTCACTGACAGTGAGCTAGGTCATAAACACCCCTGGGCTTCGATAATTATGGCCTGACATGTCCTGCAGATTTTTTAAAAACAGTGCTGTACAGTATGTTGCCAAAGCGACTCAACAGGCTCCGATGGCTAAATGAAAGAAGAGGAAAATGCAAAAGTTCTTGGACACCCAATGCATTCTTTAGAGGCTGGGAAGCGTTTCACAATGTGCCTCCCAAAGGCTTGGATGTGATCTGAAAAGTAAATTAAATTAGACAGTGCTTAAGGTGGAAACAGTGCACCAACCACGGTTATGATGAATGAATGGTGACAGTTGTCTCCAGCGCTGTGTGTTACATGAACTTAGACTGAATTCCGTCTGACAACTGCAGTCAGACGCTAATGCATCAATAACACATTATTACTCTCCTGTCTGGCACAATCAGCAATAACCTACATTTTCCAGGTATATCTATCTAACAAATGAGAAAAAGAGAGAGTTGTTTTTGTTCTTTTTGCAGGAAATCATGTTGGTGCCAAGAATCAAGATGCCATTAAAACCGACCATGAGAGTCACCTCGTTGGGTTCTGGGCCATAAATAAATACATACATGCTCTGTCTCTCTGTGTTTCATGCTTGAAGGTTTATTGAGTTATGGTGAAAGCCACTCAGTTTCAGCACCATGGACAGAGCCGGACAACATTGAGGGAATTACGCTGTCGTTCTTTAGTTCTATATAATGCTACACATGCTTTCCCTTTCAGCACCATGGACAGGTATAATACTGCTGTTAGTCCTAAATGCAGTAAGTTCTCCTAATTTAAGCACCATGGACATGGCAGGGTGATTTTATACCCTTGTGATACTGATAAATGTACTACACTCCCTCAGTTTCAGAGCGGGTTGATGTTAAGAATACGATTCTATTGTTTGTTTGTTCTAGATCATGCAACAATCCCTATGTTTGAACCATGGACAGGACAGTACGTCATGTCCAAAATTGTTCACCATTTGATATACAGTTCACTATAGTGTGTTTTTGATTTGTAATGTCCGAATGTCTAATAAAAACATGTGGTTTATACCTTATATAGCACACTTAATATATATCATAATGCAGCGTCAGTAATGTACAACCAGTGTTCACAGACCATGAGAAAGCTAGCGTTATGCATGATGCAGACAGAAAAAAAAGCTGCATTTAATCAACTCCCAGATGATACAAAAGACCTGAGTAGCTTCCAAACTCATTTCTTTTATTTTGCCTTTCAACACATTATAAAGTCCTCTACATAAAATGAACTATGCAGTGAATAGTGAATACATTTCAGGCACTGCCGACTGTTTGTTGGTGCTAATGGACGGGACTAGGTGTTGTCAGGAATATGTGTCAGAAATCAGTCACTATTCACTAATAAATCTCCATTTATAGTAGGCTCACCACTTTGCAGAAGTGAGGATTAACATACCCGATATAACAGACATCACATCGTAGTTAAAGCATGGTTTGACTTCAATGTTCTGCACCATGAACAGGACTGTGGGATATTTCAGTAAAGCTGGTATTCCATTTATTAATTCAACTTCACTAAGAGAGAGCAAAGTGGTTTTCCAAAGATTTGATATTTATTGAGGTGATTTCTGGATTATTTTACAAAACGGTTTCACTGAAGCAATCGTTTTTAAAAGAAATGTTCAGCCACGAGCCTCTCCTCCATTTTCTTTACGTGATGCATCAAGGGAAGATAGTGTCCATCAACAGCCCATTTTATAAATCAAACGTTTTTAAATTTGCTTTCTGACTTTTTGAGTACACTTGATTTATATTACTACAATCTGAAAACCTGATTGGAATATGTTAGGAGTATGTAATTGGGACACTTCTATTGATTCTAATGTTTCTTTCTAAACTGAAATACACCCCCAACGCTTTGGCACCATGGACAGAGTCAATGATAGTACTAGTTTAATACTTTTGTACTTAATGTATTGCATTCTGTTTCAATAACCAAGGACAGCGATCATTGACGTTATTAGTATGATACTTGTGTTTGCTTGAATTCATTCAGTTTCAGCACCATGGAACAGGGCTGGGCTGATTAAAACTACGTTGCTTCTTCGTCATATTCGCCCTGTACTACTACCATGAGCTGCGCAGTTATATTGATACGATACTGATGTGTGTTTGTCCTGAATGTGCTGCACACGTTGACCAGCCCCGCTGTAATAACGCGCAACGCCTGTCCCTCCATTCCCGTCAGAGAGCAGAAACATGCGGTGCGTAACAGCCCGTGCTTCTATACTGGATGGAGTGAAAGCATGTCCGGATCTCGCCGCGGCGCTGACACCGAGTGAGCTCTGCATCTTTAAAACAGAAAAAAAACAAGAAGAAGAAGAAAAAGCCAAAGAAAAACACACAACCAGCTCAGTCATAACTGTGGGATGATAAGGACTACCTCTTTTTACTTTTGGAGAGAGCCAAGCCATTAGGAGAGCATTCAGCATCAGCTGTTCAACACTGGTCTCTCATTGCTGGAAGTCGGGGCTGAATGAGTCACATGACAGAACTGGAGGCAGAGATCTAGAGAAAAGGCACAGCATTACGGCTTGCACCGCCATACTGTATTTTGAGCCATATCACATTTTTATTGCAACATTTTACTCCCGCTCGGTGAGTACATTTTCAATGGCTTTTTTGTAAGCATTTTTTGTCTTTTTAATTGCCCCCTTTTTTTTGTTTTTCCTCCTTTTGCTGGTGTTTGAATTGAGCGTTGACATGGTGGTTTTGAGCGTTTTTCACGTCCAGGCTTCAAGTTTTTAGCATGCAGTTATTCTGACCGAGAGTGCCAAGAGGGTAATCGGTGCGGTGTCGGTCTTGCGAACGCCTTTACTTGCTTGCAGTTTTGTTTCGAGGGTCGAAACCAAGCAGCTTTTGTCGGTATTGAGATTTTTCAAACAATCTATTGGTGGTTTTGAAACATTTTTATTTTTTTGTTTCTGTCGACTTTTGCTGTTGCTATGCTTTGGTTTGCATTTTGCAGTGTTGTTTGTTGCCTCCGAGTTTTGTGATTTTGATGTGTCGGTGAATCTCACCGATCAAACCCTTTGCTTTTACTTTTCTTTATAAAAAAAGGAGTCGTTTTTAAAGCCCGATGGCGTTTTAACGTGATACTTTTCTTGCAGCTGAGCTCTCAGGTTTGTTGTTTTTGTGTTTCTTTCTTTTTTTCTATTTCATTATACTTTTGCTGGTGGCAGTGTCACGTATTTTTTTGGATGTTATCGTTTTTTTGACTAGATGATGCTGGGTGGACGAGGGGAGTTTTGATTCTTGGGGGAGTTCAATGCGTTTTTGTTTTCTGTACCAACGAGGATGAACAGACATTTCCCCTCTGCAGGTATATATAATATGAGTGGATAAGTGACACGTTTCTGTATTTACAATAAAGAACAAGGTGACAGACATATGCACCTGTGGCTGACGTGTTATTTTGTAAGGCTGGCCAAATAGCTCATTAGAGAAGGCATTCTTTATCAATGTTATCTGAAGGTTACCTGATCTGTATGTAATGCTTCTTTAAAAAAAAAAAAAAAAAAAAAAACGTGATGCGATCAACAATTCAAGAACAAGGATTGGAAATGACACACAGGTCGTTTGATCACAAGGTGCTCTTTGTGTTGAGTTCAACAATCTTCAAGCCGTCTCAGCTGAGGAGTAAATGTAAGTAGCTACATGCAGGTCCCTGGGAAGGATGCACTGTAACAATCTAACACAGATAAAGTATCTCAACTCCATCCATATGTCCACTTGGAGGGGCAGAAATAACAATTTCCTTTTTTGCTGCAGCGGGCTTTAAACTGCTATAGGCTATGCGACCAAGATGGGACACATAATTAGGATAACCACAGTTTACATTACAGTATGTCAAGTACAACGCTACACTTAAGTGCCCTCCTTATTGCTGGACAAACTCAAATCGGCTTTTGTAGGCCTTGATTCATAAATACTCCTGGATTTGTCAAATCTGATTTTGCAGGAAATGAATAGGGCCACTGACAGGACTAGAAGAGGATTTAGGGTGAATTAATCCTCCAAGAGGCAGGTTTAACTTCAGATTATTGCTGCGCTGCAGGAAACACAAACATGAGTAAACAGTTGTGGCGTGGGTTGCATTGTGTTTGTGTTCTGAGGCCTGTTGTGTGTATTTATACGGGAGTAATTTGAACCTTCTATCAGTTTAGTCTTTGAGGAGCTCACAGTCAAAAAGTACTGCTCCACAAACCTCATCTGACTTCTTCTGCACTATTCCAGGACTTATCTAAATCTCTGTTATTTTAAGTGCTGGCTTCAGTACTGGCTTTCTAACATCTCATGAATTCGCTTCATTCTGATCCACATGTGTTCTCTTTGACAGACCACAGGTTTCGTCAGTGCAATATTGTAGGTCTATAAAATATATGAGCGTGGGCCATTAAGTCTGGGTAAAGACCGTTAAGTCCCAGAGTCATTAAACAAGCTGACATTTTAGATCAGAATCAGTAGAGTTTAATGTGGTGAAATGATGAATATTGAATGCAGAACTAGGTGGGTAAACTTTTAATAAGGCAAAGTGATCGGAGCAATTAAGAGAATACATTTCATCATGTATTGAAAAGCTGTTATCACGTATTGATTTTCCTGTCACCTGTCCAATCTGTGCAGCTCATAAAGCGGAGGAAGATAAAGAGCCAGTGGGAGGTTTTAATGGTTTTTCTAGGTTGCGAGACAATTTAGAAACAGTATGCATAGTCCGGGTCACTGCAGCCAGTGTTTGCTTGTATCACAGAGCTGTCATTAAACAGGCTCAAGGTGTGAATTCATCAGCGTTAGTTACTGAGAGGAAGGGGGGAAGCAAATCAATCCAATAGTTTGATTCTGCTGCAGTGATTCAATGCAGTCATTGTTTTGCCCCACAAAAAAAAAGCTCTGCAAATCTTAGAACTGATTCAGTCGTCAATAATTAAACACATTCAAGTCTTACACTACAGTAAGTCACTAAGTGAAAGAATGACTTTCACTATCCTCCAAAATCCTCTCATTGTGTCTAAATAATATTGTCAACACACTTTCCTCTTGTTTATCTCTGCAGGAGGAAGCACAGACACCTGCTCAATTCTGCTGAGGGCTTTTACAACACATTTACTTATCTGTCTAAATAGTAGCATTTTATTCACATCAATTCAAACATTTCAGATGTTGCCTTTTTAAAAAGCTTCAACTGTTGCATCACGACACATCGACATTTCTTCTTCACGCCCCTATTTGAGAGGTGTTTCTGCCACTCCGCCACAGTGTGAGCTCCCGGACGTGTCTCCTGCAAAGCATTATGATAGCTTCTATTACGTCCTGCGGTGTTGTGTCTCCCCTCCAGGCAGGTTTCCTGTTATCTAGGCCAAGCCAGACCTGCACAGGAGACTTACAGAGGAATAAGATAGCTCATGAATGGATATATTTCTGCCTCCATGAATAAAACATCACGCAAAGAGCAAATTGTAAACACTAAGCATGTCCTCAACTATCGGCTTGTATGAGCGTCTGCATGTTTGTTGGTCTGGATGTCACTGAAACAACAGCGTAAGTGTCAGCATGACAGAATTGCACAAATGGATACATAATTCATATGCTGTGCAATGCATCATTCGTACACATGTGGTGTAACTATTGTGGGATGTTATGAACATTATAATCCATATAGTTAAATGGTATGAGCCGAGATGCATCTTCTGTTATATTTGTAACACGCTTTGCCTCAGCCAGTACTTAACAATCAACATGTGGACGATAAGGGCTGAAGAATACGTAGAAAAGTATTCAACTTTAAAGGGTACATTTTCACCAATGCACAATCGGTGCTGATGGTAAATGTAGTCCACTTGAGAAATAAATTCCCCAGCGCGTCCTTGATTGAGAAAGCTACTGTTTCCTGTTGCGGAGCTGTGACGGCTATACTTATGTGTGCCAGTGTGCAGTTTGCGTAAACAAATTCTTCAATTTCCTCTCTTTCACCGAACTAAAACAGGCTCGATTGTCTTGTTAACTTATTGTAAAACACACATTCATCTTGGTTAGTCTTTTCACTGTTCCAACAATCAGCAACTTTGTTTTGGGATAAATCCTTAATTCAATCTCCAAAGTCTACACTGTATAAATCCTCGTCCATAACATCCTCTGAGCTCATATTTTGCCTTTTTTCACTGTTGGAAACGTAACACAAGCGAAGAGAACGAGGATGTTTTTCAGCGGCGTGGCGCCCCACAGCTGCTAAAGCTGAAGTAGCTGAAGTAGCACTCTGTAGGTCTTCCTTCCCTCCAACGACGTCAGATTACGTCACTGGAGGACACTGCAGGCATTTTCCATACTGTATTCCTAACTCAGATAGAAAGGAGGTTCAAATCTTTTCCCTTTAAATTATTTTTACAGATAATCTCTGAGATGTTGGAAGAGAGTCTGAAAGAAGTTATGTAAGAAGCAGCAGTGAAGCTTCAGTGGGTTTATTGGCCTTCTTGTTTCATATGTACACAAAGGTAGTTCAAAGTTTCATTAGAGATGCTCTTTTATGACCGAACATCAATCGAATGGCTGGTAGCTGCAAACTCAATCATACTTTTTTTTCTGACTTGCCTGAGAAGGTCTCATTCAGTTTCAGTGAACACAGATTCCTCAATCCATTTCTCATTTATAACTCATAAGTAGGAGAGTTGTTTTGGTATCAGAAGGGAGGAGGAAGAGGTTCTTCAATCAAAAACAAAAGAAAATGAAAAAAAAACGCTACTTTTTTGGGGGCATTTCATACATTTAAATCAGTCTAGAATAGAATTTCTTTCACTAATAATAGAAGATAAAAATAGATAAATAAATAGTCAAATTGCTGCATTATTAATGCACTGTAGCTACATAACTCACATTGAGCCTCCTTGATGCTGAGGCCTATACTGGTTAATGTTTTTTGCAATTTCACAAGAAAGTCAAATCAAATCACATTTATTCAGATTTAAACACAATAAATGTTGACCAAAGTGCTCCACAAAGAGCAAACAAATAAATAAAACAAATCAAATAAAAACAAAGACATGAATAAGACAAGGTAGGTAAATTAATAAAAGCAAAAGCATTCCTAAAAGCTTCTTGAAGAAAAGAGATGGGTCCGTAGGCGGGGTTTAAACCTATCAAAGGATGCATCCTTAGTGGCTCCTTAATGGAAGACTATTAATTACAAAGATTCAATGTTACATTTTCTGTTTTTGTTTTACTAAAAACATTCAGAAGAGACAGAGAAACGACAAATAAGGGTCAAAATCAGTGGCAAAAAAATATATAAGAAATGAGTCACTGCTCCGACAAAAAATCCTCAAATTAGCATTTGAAAATTTGTATCAACTCTGAGCTTCTTTTATTGTCGGCATATCTACATGACTTGGAGTTTCAAACCAAATCTGGCATGTTCATCGTGTTTCACTCTCTCCTCTCACCGCTTACCTCCGGCATGACTCACTCTACGGAAACAAGTGCTAAGTACTTTACTGTCCTTTTCTGAGCTGTTAGCTTGATAAGTGGGGGGATCTTACACTCACATCGTGGGTAATTAAACCCACATCTGAAGAATAGGGTCAGGCTGAATGACTTCCCAGTGTCTATTATGGGAGCCATTTGAGTTATGGTGCGTCCCTTAAATGGACCTTCTGTACCGACACGATGAGACCTGATTGTAAAGTTTCGTTTTAGTTTTAGTCCATATATTCGGCCCCGAGTGCGTTATTCTTGATAAGACGGGAAAAAAGACATCCAGGGAAGTTAGAAGACAAACTAACTCCTTCGACCTTTGATTAGAATTTAGAAAACAAAAGTGAGAGTTGGTGTGTGTGTGTGTGTGTGCATTTGTTTGTATAAAACGAGTAATTGACAGCAGTTTAAATGCAGTTTAAAAATGGCCGATTAAGCAGCAATCACATCTATTTTTCCTCATCAAGAGCTCACAGAGGAATTACTTTTATTCTAATTTTAGAAGGACTCAGGCTTCCTGCAGGCTGATAAGGAGTATAACCTAAACTCACAAAGACACATGGATCACTTCACAGGAGAAGTCGTCAGTAAAGGAAGCAGAGTTAAGGCTGTTTCACTACTTTGTCAGCTCGGTGTGCAGATATCGATCCACCCGACCTGTTTCAAGGCTTCTTATCATATTCAATATGATTTCCTAATCACACTGTTCATCATTCAGCAGCAGCATCACATGGGATCAAAACATCCAGAATTAGTTTTCAGGTTACATATAGATTCAGCGTTGCTGCCCCCTGATACATATTTTTTATTGTTTTTCTTAGACAGGAATAAATCAAAATTCACATCATGACTTTTTCT